GAAATTCCAGAAATATATCTATATGTGGTCCCTTTTCCTTTCTCTATAACTCACGTGCAGAGAGAGAGAGAAGAGAGAGAGAGAGAGAGAGAGAGAGAGAGAGAGAGAGAGAGAGAGAGAGAGAGCGCGCAAGCACAAAGGGCTGAATCAAAACTGCCTATTCATCAGTGTTATTGATTCAACACCAGAGTTCCCTGTTACCCAGACAATAGGAAGATAAGGGAAGCTTCTTAAAATCCCAACAAGGAGACCATCTAACAACACAGACTACCTGTGTCTGCTCTAAGGCTTCATTTGCCACCTTCAAATTAGAAGCAGAAAATCGGGGGGAGCAGGAATGAGGCTGAACTGGCCTGGTGGATGTGACAATAAATAGTGGCTTGGAGAACAGGCCCTGCTTCAGACAGTCTCATCATGAATCTTGCCGTTGCCACTTACAAACTAGGTGACCTTGGACAAGTTACTAAACATTCTGGAGTTCCTGTTTCTTCATCTATAAATTGGGAAAATAAGAACTATCTCTTTATAGTTCTGTGCCTATTAACTCACAGCACTCAATGTCAACATAGCCAAGTATTCAGAAATGGCAGAAACTCCTACCACCACCACCACCACCATCATCGTCATCACCATCATCATCATCATTTTATGATGCCAAATTGAAGGCAGCAATTTCATTAAGACAACCCTCCATGAGTCAGAGGTTCATGTTTTTTAAATGATTTGTCAAGGTTTTTTGCTGCCCTTAGTTTAATCACTTCATCCCATGATCTCAAAAGACTCAATCAATCAATCAAAAAAAAGGCCAGTTCTTTCCACAAACGTGTTCAATCCCATGGCTGGAGGGTTTCAGCTCAGCTTGGGCAGACTGAAGTAAACAACAGGCCCAAGGAATTTTTATTGCCGTTTCATTAACGGGGTCTCATTAACATCCCTCCCAACCAGCTCTGCTGATGGCCCAGTGCATGGCCGTCCAATTACCAAACAACAACATCCCCATAAACCTGTCCTGGCCTCTGAGGTTAAAGATTAAGCTGTCCCTCGAAACAATAATGAGTTTTAAGAAACAAGCTGTGCAAAATACTCAGGTCCCTTTCCCAGCTACAGTACTAGCTACCCAGGAGAACTCTGATACCATCAGCTGGTGACAAGAGGCTGGGTGGTCAGCTTCTACATCCAGGCCACCCTCCCCACCCCAGAATAATGTATCACAGCAAACACTTGGGAGCATAACCTTGAAGGGAAAACCAGACCTGGGAAAAGACAAGGCCATTCCAAACAGGAAAGCGAAGTCTGGGTGAGAGGTGGCGCTCCTGCCGCTCAGAGTCCCACTGCTGTCTGTCTCTCGGTGCCTTCACCTAGGAACTAAGGACTAACCACCAGAAGGCAAGAGCTGCCTTTAAAATGGTTACATTTTTTTAGAGAGCAATTTGGCAATATCTATAAAAAAAATTAATGCATACTCCCTTTGAGCTATTTTATGCCACTAAGAAGGTAAACTACAGGTATAATCTTACCATTACTTACATATTAGCAAGTGTACTCCAGAATATTATGTAAAAAAAATTATCACTCAATATTTTATATAAAAGAAAGAAGTTAACATTAATGCCCATTAATCAAGGAATGGAGTTACATAAATTATAGTTCATCCACATGATACAACAGATAAAAAAAAAAAGGCTGAGGAAGCTCTATACTAGATGCTGCCCATGGATCTCTCTGGGTAGAATTGTGGTGCTTTTCCTGCTCTTTCTGCCTGTCTGCATTTTCTGTAATAAGTATGGGTGTGTGTGTTCTTTTTTTATTAGCTAGCAATAACAATAGCAATAATAATTATAACAGCAAAGGAAAGTTTGTCTTGGAGAAGTAAAAGGAACAGAATTCAGAGGCAAAGCTAGGACCATGAACAAGTGAGGGCAGAGGCCAGCTAACCAGAGACTAGGCAAGGTGGGAAAGCAGGATATACCTGTGCACCTGATACAGAGAAACCAAAATCAGAAGCTCTGGAGATGGTCCTCTCCCCAAAATGCATGATGTCCACAGCAACAGCAGCGGCGATGACCCAGGGAGTCCCTCTCTCTGCCAAGACCCAGCTCTGGGGCTCTCTCACTGCGGAGGGTGAGGCTGGCAGCAAGGCCTTGGGTGGTGCCTACTTCTGCAGGAGGCTCTCCTGCCCAATCCCAAACCATCCTGAAAACAGAGCAGGATGTATTTCCCCCATTATATGGAGAAAACAGGCGTAGGGGTTGCTCCAGTGTTGGCTGATCTGACCCCTACTTCTGATCTGGAGGGTCTCGGTGTAGTTGGTTGGCTTAAACCCCCACTAATGTGAGGCAGGGGGCCAGAGAAGCCGGTCACTACAGGGCCGACACTGCCCCTTTTATGTGACCCACACTTGCACCCTTACAGTGGGATGAGGCGGTAGCTCTCAAGAGGCAGTGAGGGCAGAGAGTGCCAGATTCCACCTCAAGTGAGGAAATGCAAGACCAAAGACACACAGCAGCCCACATCAGTGGGTAGATGCAAACCACTGAGGGAGCAAGCAAAGATAACCCTTATACACTTCCTTCTCTAACACTGTACGATTTACCTTCACACTGCTTCTTCTAATGTCTTCATCATGGTCTTACCACCTCTACATTTCCGTGACTTCCCTGTGGACTGCAAAGAAACCTGTAGCCAGGACATGGCCACAGGCTCCAGGGAAGGCCTGTGCGACAGGGAAAGGCTCTCAGCCTGAAGTCACACTGTCTGAGCAGGGAAAATAGAGGACTCATGCACGCAGTGAGGGGGCCACCTCCCAACATGGAAGAGAAGACATCCGCGTCTCACTTCCCACACGAAGATGACTAAACAGCCCGTGTCTAGTAGAGACAGCTGGTCGTCTGTCTACACTGTCTGGCTGTTGGCATCTGTCTATGTGGCACAGGCTTCCGGGTTCACACTTCTGATGGAAAATGCCAGCTCTAGCCACCCATACTCCTCAGTTAGCGATCCACAGGGCTGCCTTATGTCCAGCTAAGGCCTGCAAGCATAGTATGGAGAAGTTATAATCAATGGCTCTGGAGTCAAACTGTCGGGTTTGAAACCTGCCTCTGTCCTTACCAGCTGTGTGACTCCAACAAATAACTTCATCTGCCCATGCCTTAGACTCCTTAGCTGTTGTACACACTAAATGAGATGACACATAAAATGGTTAGCATAGAGCGTGACCCAAAATGAGAGCTCAATAAATACTAGCTAGAAATAATTCACCAGGATTTCTGCATTCACACGTGTGTGCACACCCTCCTATACACACACACACACACACACACACACACACAAACACACAATGCTGGCAGATCCCAATCACTGTGACAACATGAGGACCATGGAGCACCACCACAACACTGTGCTCCCAAATGCATCCTCCCCAGTCTCCTACCCCATCAGACAATGAAAAGGGCAAAGGGAGAAAACACAGATTTTGAAAGTGGAGAAAAGCCAGCCAGAAGGGCCTGAGAGCCTTTGTTAAAGGTGAGGGTTCAGTACACTCCCCAAACCTGAGATGATCCTCTCAGCCAACTACAATAGGCTGGGATATGTGCTGTGTGTGCAAGCATGCAGGCATGCAGGCACACACAGTGTGGAAGGAGAGGGCTGGGGAGGGACACCAGGAAGGGAATCAGGGAATTCCTGGCATCTAAGCACTCTTCCTTTGTCACTGCACCAGCAGATGTTCATGAGCTGACCTGGGTCTTGCCAAGCTCCTGCTGAAGCAAAGCCTCAAGAAAGTGGTCTCTTCAAAGACTGGGCTGGGGAGCCCTCTCCACAGAGGAAAGGCTCCTGAGAAAAAGCAGCAAGGTATGGGGGAACGTGTAGAGAAAAGAGCGCACAGGAAACACAGCAGAGAAACAGGAGAGTCGAGGTTCAGAGCCAGGAAGAGTCAGCAGAATTCAGAATTGGGGCATCTGGAGAATGTCCTTCACAAAAATCATCATCATCAGAATCATCTTAACAACTGGTCCCATTTGTATCTCAAAAATAGTAACATAATTATTACTGCCTTTCTGATTAAAAAACAAGTTTTCATATTTAAGAAACTATGATTATAATACATAACTTAGTTCAGCTATAGAAATAAGATTGTAGGAATAAAGAGAGGGGAAGGATGTATGTATATGCGGGGAAAGTCTATGAAATTTCAATCTTATTCTTCTGTGAGAAGTCAGCAGATAATATCTAAAACTATTCCAACCAAAGTGATGTAAACATATTGTTTTGATAAGAGGAGATAAAGAGTAGATGGAACCGCTTTTAGCTGAATCAGAGCCTGCATTTTCATTCTTTTTAGAATCGAAGTGAGTGGCTCTAGAGAACAAGACTTGTGGAAAGGCAGAGCTGGGGACTCTTCTTTATCATCACAGGCCTTACAGTAGTACTTGCCTGTTAAGCTCCTGTTAAAAGAACACTTTGATCAAAACAGAAATCATCTTGCCCTAACCAGGTTGGCTCAGTGGATAGAGCCTGCAGACTGAAGGGTCCCAAGTTCAATTTTGGTCAAGGGCATGTACCTTGGTTGTAGTCACATCCCCAGTAGGCTGTGTGCAGGAGGCAGCTGATCAATGTTTCTAACTCTCTATCCCTCTCCCTTCCTCTCTGTAAAATAGTCAATAAAATATATTTTTTTAAATAGAAATCATCTTAAACAACAGAAATGATTTCAAACCTAGCTCAAATTACTCTTTCCCCATGAAGTTTTCTCAGATCTCTTTCCTCTTCTCTTGTGAAAATTACTGTCTCTGATATCCGTCTGACAATTAATCATATTATACTTGGCAATGAGCTGAATTCTTCTATTGCTAATGATCTTCCCATCTGTGTCTTGTGACCCTGACTGAATTATAGCTGCTTCACAGCAGAGTGCACTTCTCACAATCTTTGAGGTGTCCACAGGTGAGCAGGTTATTCAATTTATAAAGTTGGAGGAGGTGTGGCAGCCCAGTCCCCATTACCTGCATAAGCATTGGCCTGCTGCAGAAGGTCGGTGCAGGTGTGCACATCTGCAAATGCGCGGATGCCCAGGCAATTGGTGGGATGCAACTGAGACTGAAGGAAGTCACAGCAGTTCTGCCGAACATCCATGAGCTGCAGCAAGCTGGCTGCTGGGAGCAGCACCTGCAGGAGAAGGAGACATTCTGAGACACTGGATCCCTCCAGCAGGGCCTCTCCTCCCTACCACGCTGTTCTAATCATACCACTCCCATTCTTGAGATCCTGGCATGGCTCTCCGCTGCCTGCTCAGGTCAGTCCAAACCACCTGGTCCGGCTGTCAGGGCAGCTCAAGCCTCATTTCCCCCCACTCTACACCTCATGGAGTCTCAGCACTAGCCTGTTCTCTGTTTCCCTTAGCCTACAGCAGTGCTTTCCAATCGCTCATGTCTGTATGAATTCCCTAGGGGTCTTATTAAAATGCAGATTCTGATACAACAGGTCTAGGGTGGAACCTGAGAGCCTGCATTTCTAACCGGCCGCACTTTGAGTATCAAGACCCTTTAAGAGCCCTAGCTGGGTTGGCTTGGTAGATAGAGCTTCAGCCTACTGACTAAAGGGTCCTAGGTTCAATTCCCATCAGGGCACATACTCGGTTGTGGGATCAATCCCCAGTGGGACCATGGAGAAGGCAGCCAATCAATAATTTTCTCTCATCATTGATGTTTCTCTCCCCCTCACCTCCTTCCTTTCTGAAATCAATAAAAAAATATTTTTTAAAAAAAAAAAAAGAACCTTAAGAACTGAATGTCTGTGCCGCACCTCCACAATTTATATGTCAAAATCCCAACCCACAATGTGACTTATTTGGAGACAGGGCCTGTGAAGAAGTAACATGGTTAAAGGAGATCATAAGAGTGGGGCCCTAAGGTGTCCTTGCAAGAAGAGGAAGAAATTTCAGTGTCTGTGTCTCTCTCTCTCTCTCTCTCTCTTTCTGTCTCTCTCTCTCTTTTCCCCTCCCTCCCCCCCTCCCCAATGTAAGGGCACAGGGAGAAGGAGGCCTTCTGCAAGCCAGGAACTGAATCAGCTGGAATCTCGATTTTGGAGCCCTAATTTCCAAAACTGTGACTCCATAAATTTAAGCCCCCGATCTGCGGTGCTGTTATGGCATCCCAAGCGGACCGAGATAGATTGATTCTTGGCTACACATTAACATCACCTGGAGGGTTTTTAAATTATTGGTGCCTGGGTCTCACCCCAAAGATTCTAACCTAAGAGGAATGAGGTGTGGCCTGGACAGTGAGGTGCCTCTACAGTCCCCGGTTACCTCTAACAAGCAATCACATTGGAGAATCACTGCCCTGCAGCCGTTAGCACACTGTCTTCACACAGAAAGGTGCTTACTGAATTGTTCACTAGCTGATTCACCACTCAATTACTGAATGTCGGTGTGCTGGGCTCTGGTCTCGGCTCTAAGATTCAGTGGTAAGCATGATAAGCCAGACCCTGCTCTAATGGAGAATATAACCTACTGGAATAAGGGAGTCACCCCCAGGTCCCTCAGGGCTCAGATAAACACACTTTATTCTTCCATCCAACAGATAAAGAGAATGTCTTTAGCTACGTTCTCAGAGAAAGGAGAACTGAGTTCCCTTTTAAAAGGTCACAGGACACATGAGTATTCACACTATTTCCTGGAAGACAGAAAAATTTCCTGCTCAGGTGTGTTGCATGTGTTTTTCCTGAAGGCCAGGAAAAACTGGCTTGAGCAGGCCGGATGGGTGCTCAGACTGCCAACCCCTCTCGAGTTCCCTAGGCCTTTCCCACACTGGCCAGCCTGCCCTCTGGATCAAATATCCTGGACCCGGGGCCAGAGTCCTACCTGACCCCAGCTCTGCTTCTCTTTCCCCCCTGCCCTGTGGAGGAGATCAACAGTGTGAGCATGTCCTTCAAAAAAGAATTAAGAAAGAAATAAAAAATACAGTTTGATTTGAGGCTGCTTAGCTCAGGACCCACGACATCCATTTCACCCCAAACAACTGCCACGTCCTGGGCTTGCTCTCAGCTGCTCCCCAGGCTCGCAGGGAATGTCTGGGCCAGCCAGATTCCAGCTGTTCCCATCCACGAGGGTGTGCCCAGGAAGCCAAGGGCTGTGGATACATTTCTTTTCTTGACTTGGGCCTCTACAAAAGTCTTTTTTTCCCCCTGACCATCTCCCAAAACAGTCCTGAGCCTTAGATCCAGCTCTCCTCACCAGCATGTGCTCAGTCCCCACTCTGCCCATTGCCTTGGGCCTCATCCCTCCACTAGGGCACCCAGTCATCCAGGTTTGCCGAGGACCAAGGGTTTCCAGGACACAAGGCTTTCTATGTTTACACTGGGACAGTGGGTCGCCCTTTCTCATCCCTGTCCACATGCAGAAACCACCAAGGGCCTCCACTCCCAAGCTACCCGCTTGCTCTCAGCAAGGAAAGCCCTTCCGAGTACAAGCTTATTAACATCCTCCTCACAAGGCTGAGTTCTAGAAAACATATTCCTCTTCCCTTCCCCTCTCCTATGTCCCTAGCAGGACAGCAGTACATTAGCATTGTGTCCTGGGCATTTTCCAAACCCTGATTCATTCCAGAGAAGGAAAAAGATAAAAATCACCCACTCCCAAGGGAGGGGGGGGGTGGTGATCACCCACTCTTGAGTTTTAGATCATAAGCAGACACAGCCAGGCTCCAAATCTGACCACTTAAGCTCCATTCTCACTAGGCAGCCACTGTCCCCACTAAGCAGCCATAAACTGAGAAACTCAATTAAGCTGTGGGCTTGCTCAGCCTAGCCAAACAGATTCCAAACCAGATTAGTCTCTGCCTGCTAGTTAAGGAGAGAACCATTAACCATTCTTGTTGAATACATACCAGGAATGGAAGGCTCTGCTCCAAATTCCCAAATGACCTCCATGACAACCCCTACCAGCACCAGCTGCAAGCGCTACAGTTAGGGCCAGAGGTTGACCAACCATCCTGGTTTGCTGTGAATGTGTCAGCTTTAGCACTAAAAGTCCTATGTCCCAGGGTCAGGTGTTAACCTGTGCAGGGGAACTTCTAACCCTAAGCAGCCCTGGTGCAGAGGAGCAATCAAATGCTGTGGCAAGCCTCAAGAGTCAGGGGTGACCAGAGGCAGGAATGGGATAGCAGCTCTTTAGCTACAAAGACGAGGATTTCTGAGAAGTGCTATCTGCCCCCAAGATTGCATTCCCAGCCAAATCAAAATGGTATCATGCCAGGGACACTCACCTGGTCCTGCCGCCCCTCCTCTCTCTCCCTGGCCCTCTTCTTCACCAAGAGGACAACAGCACAATTTGGTGCTTAAATTCTCAACATCATGACAACCAGCCAAAAATATAAGATAGTAAATATTTCCTGAACACACTCCTTAGGTTATGAATTTCAGTTTTTAAAACCTCCCTGGACAGAGCTACCTACATAGCATTCAACTTCCCTACTATTCACAAAACCCACATAGTAAGCAAAAATTTATAAGGCTTTTCACCTCTCCACAAGTCTCTCCCCACCCCACCTCCCACCTCCTACCCCCCATCCTGTTTGGGTCCTCTCCTGCTGAAAAGCATTCTCAAACTGACTTCCTAAAATAAATGGGGCTGGTGGTTTCTCTAATTGCTCCTTCCCTCTCTTTGATGTTACACTGAGATTAGCTATGAGTCAAAGGCCCTTTTCTTCCCACTATTTGCTTTATACAGGAAGGCGTGAAGGAGAGGAAAGGAAGTCAGAATTCTGAGGGGGGTTGGAGACTGGGAGATGTATCACTGCTTAGCCTCTGAGTCTCAGGGATAAACTGGGCCCCAGTCCAACAGGGTTCTGGGGGTACACATGAGAACAAACATCCCCAGACCCTGTGAAAGAAAAGAGAGCACACGGCCAGGAAGGGCTGTCTTCACCTCCCTCACCACATCAGCAAGAGCTTTCAGAGGATTTCCTCTTTTCTTATCTTGCCTGCAACTCGACTCCCTCAGGTGGCAGCAGTAACAAGATTGTGAACAAGAGGCCAGGCCTGGATCCTCAGCTTTGAAGCAAGATTGTCCTGCTGGAATCACTAGGGCAGTTCTGGTGGCCTCTGGACGGAGGAGGCCGAGACGGGAGAGGTGGTGGCTGGCTGGAACCACCACAGGGATGGAAGGTGACCCCAAGTTGAAATACTTCGCTTCTCTCCACCTGACCTTCAGCTAAGAGTTTACGGGCTCCCCTCCAGCTTGCAGATGCCTCCTCCATTTTTTATGTGTAGGCTTGTTTTGTTTTTCCTCACCCTCGGATAACATGAAAACACAGCAGAGGATATCCCGTCACAGAGCTTACTTCCTGTAACAAAAACAAAAGGAAGTGCCCTGCCTCAGAAAGCACCTACTCCTGGAATTTCAGGGAGGCAGGGCCATGGGTAAAGGAGGGCACCAGCCAGAGGGCCAGGTGACACTGTGGGTCTGTCCCTCCCAGCACCAGGCATGAAACCTGGCACAGAAACAGTGTTAAATTAAAAATCTGTTGAGAAAAAGAAGAAACTGGAAAGGGCAAAGAGGAAAAGAAAAGGGAGGTAGGGGGAGGGAGGGGAAGTGGGTATAGGTGAACAAGAGAGCTAGCAGAATCGCACTGTGATTAAAAGTCTCGCTTGGATTTTGACTGCACTTACCAGGTATGTGGCTAAAAGCAAACTACTTAAGCGCTCTGTGTCTCTGTCTCAACAATAAAAGGAAGATAATAATGGTCCTGCCTTAAAGACTTGTTATGAGGGTCAAATGAGATAGTACTTTTAAAGCAGTTAAGTGCTCAGTTAAATTAGTTTTTATAATTATTAATTCTGAGCTGAAGTCAAGATTCTGATCATTTAATAAGAAACTCAAGTTCTGCCGGGACCGGTTTGGCTCAATGGATAGAGGGTCGGCTTGGGGTCTGAAGGGTCCCGGGTTCGATTCCGGTCAAGGGCATGTACCTTGGTTGTGGGCATATCCCCAGTAGGGGGTGTGCAAGAGGCAGCTGATCGATGACTCTCTCTCATCGATGTTTCTAACTCTGTATCTCTCTCCCTTCCTCTCTGTACAAAATCAATAAAATATATTAAAAAAAAAAAAAAAAAGAAGAAGAAGAAACTCAAGTTCACCAAATCAACAAAGCACAATGAGTTGGAGAGAGCTGGTTTCAAATCCCAACTCTATCTTTCACTACATAATTGACTGTGGGTATGACTCATGTAACCCCTTTGGGCATCAGTTTCAACTATAAAAGAAGGATCATAGGCGAATGTCCCATTGGAACTAAATAAAATAATGCATGTGAAATGATCAACACCTATTTGGCTTATTGTGAGCATTATATGCAAGTTATAACAATTGCTACCTCTACCACAGGAGGGCAACTCAGTATCTTAAAAGTATGTGTGGCTGGAAAAAGATTAGGGGTATAGTTCTCCCAGCCATTTAACCAAGCCCCAAATTTCTGACCCTTGTTTCTAAGACTTTCAGGAGAGCCCCAATGCTTCCATGCTCACCTTTTTAATGCACCAAATCTTCAAATATTGATGTCATAGACAGCTGTGAGCAACAGCCTCAGAAGATAGTAACAGCATGAAGAAGCAGCCACATTTTGATCCAAACTTTCTCTTTTCAACCTTTTTTGTTTTGTTTTCCCCCAAGGACCAACCACAATTTAAAGTGGAGAGGAAAAGGGAAACAGTGTATCTCATTGATTCCAAACAATGAAGTTCCCTGAGGTTCCACATTGTGCTTCCCAGGGGAGCCCTTGCACAGGCTGGCCCCTCCCACCCTACACAGGAGAGATGAACAGCAGGCCCCTCTAGGACACACACACCAGTGAGGATGCAGACTGGTGGGCAGAGGACGCAGGCCTGACCTCCCAGTGTTCCTTCAACATCTGGCCCAAACAATGTTTCTTCAGTGAGGCCTACTCTTACCATCCTCTTCAAGGTGGTGATGACCACTGCCTGCTTACTGGGTACCTCCGCCCTCGCCCCTACCAGTCTATAGGACGCCTATGCTCAACCATGGTCCAGCTTCAGACCATGTGCTCCTAGGTAAAAGGGGTTCTATGCTCACAGTGCTCTCTGTGCCCATATTGTCTCCTGGCACACAGGTTCACTGATTCCTTTTTTCCAAATCCAGGTGCTGAGGATGAGGGCAGGGCCGTGAAAGGAGGAAAAGGCACAGGCAACACATATCACAGCCAACAACCCTGCTGAGAGTTGGCCCTGATGCTTGACACCCTACATGTGCAGAGGCATTCACTTGACTAATGTTGAAACAGGAAAACATTTTTAACAACCTTACAATCCAATACTCAAAATCCCTGCGATGAGATGATGACTGGGAAGAAGCAGAGTCACCAGGCTTTTAATTCTTCCTTTGAACCAACAGGAGTTAAAGACTTTCTGCTCTGAGGTCTGATGGCCTCATGGTGAAGAATGTGGGTGCGGTCAGGCAGGCATGAGTTTGAGGGTCATTCATCCACCTACTGGCCTTGTGACTCAGGCAAATCACCTAACCTCTTTGGAACTTTGGTTTCCTCTCCAGTTACCAACTAAGTTGTTGTGAGGGTTAAATGAAAGGATACTATGAAATGGTGGGTCCAGAGTGTGCAATACACTAAGCCAGTAGCTGGGTCTGAGTTTACCTGGACGTTCTCTTCAGTCACCTCAATTTCAGCCGTATAGATATAGTCAATCAGCTTACTCAGTGTTTGCCCATCCACGTCCTTGATTTCAATTTTCTTGGCTTTACTCTCAGACATATCACCTACAGTTCAAAACAAAGCAAAATGAACATGAACTTGGCACCAAGAGTATGCTTAACTTTCTCACATGCCTCCTGCCCCATATGGGTAACATAAAGCACTTTCCTGTGCTCTGGAAGGTCATCCAGCTGACATCAGGTCACATTCACAAAGCAGAGTCACCCAGGCTTTTAATTCTTTAAGCATCCCCCACTCTATCTGTTGCCCATTTCCATTTTGAAAGCAAATCTGTGAGCAATAATTCATTCAACCAACATTTACTGTAAACTTCTAGAGTAGACCAGAAGAAGTGAAAAAAGTATGCACCTGTCCTCAACGAACACATGTTCTAGTCTAGTAGAGACTTATAAAAATACATCTAAACAAAGGTGATAAGAACAAGCAGAGGTTTAGCAAAGTAACCATAACAACAATAACAACAATTTAAAGAAGTAACAATTACTGCTAACTATGGCCAACCACTGTCTTAGGTACTTTTCCTATGATGTTTATTAATATTAACCCCATTTTACAGATGAAGAAACTGAGGCAAATCTAGAAAGGGGCCAGGCTCGGATTGAAACCAAGGATTCTGACACTAGAGCCTATTCTTGTAATCAATATACTATATTAAATCCCAAGAATGCAGAAGATAGAAGAAACCCTGCCCAGGGAATTCAGGAAGGCATCCAAGTAGGTCACTACTGAGCTGGGTATTAGAGAATAGAGTGTTCCACAAGCACCAAAGGTGAGGAAAGATGGGCTGGATATAGCAACCATAAGTGTAAAGATAGGAAAATGCCAAAGAAAATATTGGGAGCAGTAAGAGGCCGGTATGACTTGTACCTAGGGTGACAGTGAGGAAGGAAGCTGGAGAACTAGGTAGGAGCCAGGACTTGTAACTTACAGAACCCTGTAAGCAATGTAAATGAATTTTGACTTTATGCTAACAGTAGTGCCATTAAAAGGTTTTAAGGAGGGGTGTTTCTGAATGAAACTTGGGATGCATTGTTGAAGCTGGATCAGAGGCAGGGAGAACCGTTGGAAGACCATCCTAATAATCCACGAGGGAGGACCTAGGCCTGTGAACGAGGGCAGCAGCAGCACCACATTTGCACAGTCTTGAGGCCCTTCACTTCGGCCTGCCCTCTCTATACAGCACAGAGGTCAGTCTAGAGCCAGGGTCATCCCACAAGGGCTGCTGGTTTCAGAAAGAAAAGGCAGGCAAGACGTGTGTCTTTGTAGAATAAAATAAAGGGCAACCTGACTGCAAGAAACTGGGATTCAGAAGCTGTCATGAGAGTGTGGAAACAGAGCTGGGAGGTTGTTTTTTCTCTGTGGGATTTGTACATTGGAGCCAAGACAATAAGTACAGTACAGCGTGTGGGTAGTGACACCTACCTCCATGCTGCATAGGCTGCACAGGATTCCTCCCCCAGTGCAGTTCCCACCCTGACAGAGTTCTAGATATGAATGACTCTGGAACAGGGAGGGAAGGGAGGAACCATTCTAAACCCTGCCTGCTCTCTTCATTCCAGATCAGGCAGACGAGAGACCCTCCACGTTGTTCTCTCTTCTCTCTGACTGCTGGTGGAAGCCAGTCAAAAGGCCTCAGCACCAAGAGCCTTGAGGCAGGGCAAAGAGGCAATGAGGAAACAGAAAAGATTATGGCTTTTTCCTCTACCCATAAGATAGGTGCTCACACTCTCTCTTGAGTTTACTCCTGCACAAGACTTGACTGGGGGCCGGGATGAACCTGCACCCAAGATACGTGCCCTTGACTAGGAATCAAACCTCAGCCCTTCGGTCCATGAGCTGATGCTCTAACCACTGAGCAAAACAAGCCAGGGCAAGCCAGGCCAAGAGCAACCTATTTTTAGACAAGACTATTGTACCCCTCATCCTCAAATCTGGGTCTCCTAAACCAGAAGATGATGCCTGGATTTGATGTGATTTGTTAAGGACAGGAAAAAGAAACCCTGTATCACTGTAAGCTTCAGCCCAGAGGAACTGACTAAAAGGTCACATGGAAGATAAAGCCATTCCTCCTTAATCCCAAGCAGCCTTCAATCTTTTTTTTCTGAGCTATTGCACCTAATCCCTGACTCCTCAGGGGCAAAACCCTCAGGAACAGACCCTTCTACTCCTCCTCCTCTTCCTCCTCCTCCTCCTCCTTCTCCTCCTCCTCCTCCTCCTCCACAACTTCACTGAGTCTTCTTAGTCCAAGGGAAGGAGTCTCTAGTGCTCCCTTCCTCCCAGCCACACTGCCTTGGATTAAGTCTTGTTGAGCTGCAAGTTGCCATAAAGATCTTCAAAGACATCAATACATCTTGCAAACAGAACACCGACAAGGGTCAGGGCTGTCAGAGTCTGGCAGATGAAAAGATGGAAACAGAGGTTCTGTGGAATGTGTGCATACCTGGGAGGTGAGTTAGGAAGCTGGGTCATCATTGTTCTGCTTTGTGATGGTCTGTGTCCACTCAAAATCTAAGCTCTTGCCTCTTACCCCAGCACATTCCTGTCTCTCCTCCCTATTTCTATTCACTAAAGATACTAGCTAAACATCAGCCTACATCTAGTAAAAACTGGATGGCAACTCTTCTTTAAAAAATAAAATCAGCTCAGCTGGAATGGCTCAATGGGCCTATGAACCAGGAGATCACGATTTGATTCCCGGTCAGGGCACATGCCTAGGTTAGGGGCTCGATCCCCAGTGTGAGGCATGCAGGAGGCACTCAATCAATGATTCTCTCTTATGATTAATGTTTCTATCTTTTTCTCCCTCTTCCTTACTCTCTAAAATTAATTATAATATATATATAAAACAAAAATAATCTCTAATCAGCTTCTGCATATAAAACCAGGACAGGAGAGCTCACTCAAGGGGCTTCATTTGGGATGGGAGCTGTAACATATTTGCACCTCTGATGATGGGTATAAGATCCTAAGCCTGAGGTCTTCAGATCTCAGGTCCTTTAACACCATAAAATGGAGTTGTTTTTAAAGTATTTAGATGATTATATGGAGTACAAATACCTATAGTCAACAGAACCCATAATAAAGGGCATGATAAAAAGAGGGGTAAAAAACTAACTAGGCTGTTTTGGGGAAATGAGCTTCCCCTTGGATAGAGGTCCTAGATGGGGGGGGGGGGGGAGGTGGATGGACGGGCACAGATCATAAAGATTCCATACTCACAGGGAAAAGATGGGCAGAACACATCACTACTGGCCTCTCCAATCACACTATGCAAAAGAAGTAGAGGACCATTAAGCTGCCCATCCCAGATCTTTCCACAGACTGGCTGCCTTTGGACACTCTGTGGGCATTCAGACCTGTTTCACATTTATGCAAAACTATAGGCCTGATGCATGAAAATTCATGCAAGAATGGGCCTTCCTTCCCCTGGCTGCCCGCACCGCCTTTCGCTCTGCCTGAGCCTCCTTTCCGCCTTCCCACACTGCACAGAGGCCTGGAGCAGCTGGGATAGTGCAGAATGCAAGTATTCCAGCCCCTCCCTCTGCCATTGGGCACCTGTATATGCAAACTAGCCTGGCATCTTTGTTGGGATAATTTGCATACTTGCTTCTGATTGGCTAGTGGGCATCACAAAGGTATGGTCAATTTGCGTATCTTGTGCCTTTTTACCAAGCTTTATTAATGTAGATTATTGTGAGCAGGACATGGGCAAGTAGTAGAGTTGGTATTGGAACTACCACAGAACAGTTGGGCAATATAAACTCAGAGGAAAAAAATAAAATAAAAAAACTTTAAGCCTGAACAAAAGATTATAATCACATCAATCAAATCAGAAGAAAGTCACATGTATTTTCTTTTCTTTTTGGCCTTAAAGATGATGATAGAAATGGACTCTGCATGAGTCAGCTGGGCCTTTTCATTACTAATTTTATGCATTTTAAAGTTGAACTTGATAATTACAACAAAATGTTGCAATGTTACTTTTTTTGTACCTGTTTACCAAGCTTTAAGCAAACCAGCCTCAAAAAAATACACAAATATCATTTTTGCTGATGAGGCATAAGCTGGTTCAACTGTCCTAGAGTTGTAGAGTTGCAGAATGTGTCACAAGTCTTCCAAGTGTGGATACCCTTCAACCAAATATTTCTTATTCTTAGAATACATTCTAAGGAAATAATCAGGAATACAAATAAACATTAAGATGCAAGGATACTCATTATGATATTTACAGCAGCAAAACATTAGAAAGAACTATAATTTCCAACCAGTAAGAAAATGCATTTTCAATAGGGTACTTATGATGGAATCTTAAGATGCCATTAAAATTATGAGATAGATGTGATTTAACTATGAAAAAATATTCACAAAATTCTGTTAAGTTCAATTAAGCAAATTTTCATTGAGCACTTGCTATATAGAAGATTGTGCTAGGCAGTGAGGATATAGCAGTAAATTTAAAAGGTATAGTTCTTACCCTCATAAAGCTTATAACTGAACTGGGAAGTCAATTATTGAAGAAATAATGAGATTAGAATACTAAAGAGAAGCATAGGGTACCACAATTAAACCAAAGGGATTTAACCTAATCCAAGGGCATCATGGAAAGCCTTCCTGAGGAAATGATGCTTAAGTGGTAATGAAGGATGAATAGGAGTTAGGCAGGCAAAGAGGCAGGGAGGAAGAACATTTCAGGAAGGTGAACACACATCAAGAAAGGCTATTCAACTCTGTATATATAAAATGAACTCATAAAATATATTTCATATCTATATTCATAAATACATATATATTTATAAATACAAAACCTTAAAGAATATAAATTATAATCTTATCTAGATGTGGCATTACATGTAATTTTTTATCATTTTACTTGCTCACATTTTCTAATTTTTTTCTTCAATGAACATATATGATTATTGGGTGGATAGACAAATGAATAGATGGATGGCAACCAGATTCAATGAAAGGCTTTGACTGGCATTAGATTACTTTCTTCTCTTTGTTGTTATTATTTTTAAATCCTCACCCAAGGACATGCTTCCATTGATTTGAAAGAGAGAGGGGAAAAAGGGAGGGAGAGAGGGAGGGAGAGAGAGAGGGAGGGAGGGAGGAAGAGAGAGAATAAAGTAAAAAGGGAAAGAGAGAGAGAGAGAGAGAGAGAGAGAGAGAGAGAGAGAGAGAGAGAGAGAGAGAAGAGTGAAACATCAATCGATTGCTTGCCTCCTGCACACACCCTGACCTAGAATTGAACCCACAATCCTTCGGTGTATAGGACAATTCTCTAACCAACTGAGTCATGCCAGCCAGGGCGATTGCTTTCTTCTCTGAGTCTTTCCTCCCATTCAATTATTAGAATCTAAGACTACCCCAAAAGTATCTTTCCTGTCCAGTTCTAAAATCATTTTCATTTTGCTTAGGCACTTACACTACCCGAGAGCAAGTTCATTAGCAAAAAGTGGAGCCAACTCTAAAGTTATGCAATTCCCAAAAGATTCTTACCACAACACTGGACTTTCCAAACCACACACACACACACACGGAATAACTGACATACTTATTAAAATTTTGGCTAAGTATTTATTGCAGACAAAATGAATTATATTTTTAAAAGGAGACTGATGAAAGAGAAGGGAAAAATTATAACATTACTACTAGGGTTTAAGATTACTCTAAAAGGAATGTGGCTCAAAATGCTAAATAATGAAATTATCTGGTTTTTCAGACTACACTGTGAAATTCATAACCTAAGGTTCAAAGTGAGGTGTGAGTGGTTTGGTCAACTTAGCAGAGACAGCTCTGAGCTGAGACCAGCTCCTTCACATGATGAGCCATGGGGAACACACATGTGAGGAACTCTCAAAATGTTAAGTGCCAAGTTTTCCCCAACAGGAACCACTTTTGCCCAGGAGAGGCTGTGAACTGAATTAGGGAAAGGTCAGAGCCTATTCAAGCAAAAATGTGCCTGCACGCACTTATTCTTAGCAAACCTTTCATTCTTTTGATCATTACTTATGAACTATATCAGGCCCTATGGTTGACACGGAGGATTCAACAGTGACAAGACATGGTCCCCAAGTGTACAAAGCTCACAATCAAATGTGAGAGACATTTCATTCATTCATTTAAAAAACATGAGTCCTACTGTGTACCAGGTACTCAGGATATAGTAACAAGTCCAACAAGAACCCTAACTTTGTGGAATTTATAGTCTAATGAGGAGAGAGTGGTGAAAAACTATAAACAACTAACCAACATGATTTTCAAATAGTTATAAATAAATAAAAAATAGAGTTAAGTTATGGGATAGAAAAGAGACTTAATGGGGAACTATAGCTAGGGTGGTCAGAGGAGACCTCCAGGAAGCAGAGACCTTTGAGCTGTAAACTGGAGGATGAGGAGCAGACAACATACGAGATGCCAGAGCACAGGCACTGCAGACACCAGAAAACAGACGTATTCAGAAGAAGCACAGAGTACTTGGCAAGTGTCGGGGAGGGACACTGATCCAGTCTCTGTCTCACCCAGCCCCATGGGCCTTCAGTCAGCAGTTATCTACAGAGCACTACCCTTCCTAGTTCAGGGAAGGTGCAATGTGGCTCTACACACCAGAAGCTCTACACATGGGTTCAAGGAATTCTATTTCAGAAGAAACACATGTGAACAATTGGGCAAGGCTACTTGGCATGCTCAGGGAAGAGGCACTCCCTGGAAAGTTAGCAAAGATGCTGAGAATGAATGACCAATAGTGAATATTCCTGTCTTACTCTCCCCAGGTCCCACTATCACCTCTCCCAGAGGAGGCCCATGATAGCATTGGGCCAGCCATCAAGAAGCCAAGTCGCACTCATTCTCTGGGTAACCTTGGGCAAGTCTCTCCCTTTCTTTCCGCCTCAGGGTTCCCCATCTGCAAAATGAGAGATCAGAAGGCCTAGAGATGAGCCCATAAGTTTGTGTTTTTCACAAGCTTCCCACATGATTATGATTCATGCCACAGTTTGAGAACTAATGGACTACAGGAATTCTATGCTCTTTGCCTCCTGGTGACAAGGGGCTGCATGTTCAACTGGCCTGGCAGAGATTATGTTTTCAACAAGTCCTCCATGGTGCAAAGCACAGTATCTGGCACAAAGAAGTTCATGGTGAGTGTCACAGCCTTCTCTTTCCTCCCTCCCCTCATTCCATCACCCTCAATTTTGTCCCAATTACTGTTATTGTTTCCCTTCACCATACCTGTGAACATTGCACAGAAGTAGGGGCTGCAGGCTGCCAGGACCACTCGGTGGGCTTCTATCTCGACATCTTCTGCCACAATCATCACATCACACAACAGCTTCTTACTGTAAGATACCAGTGAGAGGACAAGATGAATCACAGCACCAACACCCACCCCTGTCATACAAGAGTATGTTTCCTTTCACCCTTTTCCATGCGATCACCATATAAGGCTGTCATCGAGATCTGCCCTATCTTGAGTTAAGCAGCAGAATGGACTCATCGACTTTTCCAAATCCCCAATAAGCCTGGCATTCATGCATTCTGAAGGTACACAGAGTGGTCCAACTAGTCTGGGGCAGCAAATTCAGAGTTCTTTCATGTGTCTTCACTTCTCTGTTCCCCACTCCATCAGCCTGGACTGAGACAGGAGTACGGCAGCTCAGGGAGCAGTGGGAAAGTCTGGGGCTGTCAGTCAAGTGACTGCGTGAATGCAGCGGGGCATCGTATGCCTATGTGGTGTGCCACCAGCGAGAACAAGTATTAACAATTCACCAAGAAATCCACTGCCTGAGTAATACTGTTAAGAGGCCAGCCAAATCTGGAGGACTCACATATTTCTCCTTCCTCTCAGATTCAACACTATCACCAAGAAGACTCTACCTGCATACTATGCTCCCTAAAGACCCTTTGCAAATGCTAATCATTGCAATTAAAACTACTGTAACTACCTTTTTACTTATTTGTCACTCCCACTACACTGTGGACTCTGAAAGAGACATGTCTTAGAAACTCTTAGACACCTGGCTGAATCCCTAGCCCACAATAGGTCCTAAATTTTTATCAAATAAATGAATAAATTTTGAAATGGGATCAATCCACATTCATAGATAGAATAGGCTAAAAGGGTACCACAAAGCCCTGTCAACTGAAGAATTTTTCTTCTACCAGCCTTCCGATTTCTTACCATGCCTATCTTACCTAATAATAGACAAACATGTAAATTGACCATACCTCCGCTACACCCACAGCCAATCAGAATGAGTATGAAAATTATAAGACCAAAGATGGCGGCCACCCAGCTGCTCCAGGCAGGGAGTGGCCAGATGGAGCAGGACACCTGCTATGAGAGGGCGGGTGGGGGGTGAAGGGATCTACAGAAGCGGAGTGCCACAGCGAAAACAAAACTGCAGGCTCCGGGGTCTGCAGTGAAGACAAAGATGGCAGACTCCAGCTGGAGTCTGCAGCAAAGACAAAGAAGGCAGACTCTGGCCAGAGCGAAGGCCTGAGTCCCGGGTGCCAGAGGAAAACTGGTGCTGGAATCCAAGGAAAGGAAGGCCTATTGCATGAATCTCTTTGTGCAACGGGCCTCTAGTTATTAATATAATGATTAACAATAATGGAGTTATAGGTACCAGACACTGTTCTAAGCACTTTTTTGGATGTATTGCTTTATTTAGTCCTCTACAACCATGTGAGGTAGGACTATTGTTATGCTCCACATTGTAAACAACAAAACAGAGGCCCAGAGAAAGTAAGAAACTTTCCCAAATTCACACAGAAGAGATCAGTGGAGATAGGCTTTGAACACAGGCTGCTGAGCCCCAGAACCCATGCTCCTAACATCTATGGCCTCAGGTCACCACTAGTCCCTCCTTTACACCGAAGCACTAGGTGTAAAGGTGGGAGGAAAGACAGGCAGGGCAAACATATTTCAACTGTGATCCATTGGTCACAGTTAATTAGAACACTACAGTGGATTGAGAAATCTGTCATGACTGTGTCCCATGTGAGAGTGATGAATGTAGTGAATTTGCCATGGTTGATAAATGGAAGAGAAGGCACAATACTTGTCATCCCTGGTGTATCATATTAAACCATTGACAACCTCTAGGACATTAGTCCAGGTTCACTTATCAGAGTAATAGAATCATAAAGCCTGAAAAGGTTGCAGCTGCAAATTGGCTTAGAGCAGTGGCCCAAAGCTACAAATCTTAAATCTGGTACAATACCACAATGTCTCATGACTGGGTGACACTTGTATAGAAAAAGACATAAATAGGTTAACTCCAATAAGGAAAAGTGGTCAGGAAAGGTTTAACATACGAAATAGTATATCAATGAGGGGGATTCTGGGAAGGTTTAACATATGAAATAACCTGGGGGCTGGACCTCACCCTGAAGTGGTCAGCACACCTCTACCTCACACCACATGTAGAAATTAATTCATAATGGACCAAAGATCTAAATTTAAGAGCTAAAATATAAAACTCTTAGAAAACATAGGAATATTCATGACTTTGGATAAGACATCAAAAGCACAACAAAAAACAGATAAATTAGACATCAAAACTAACATCTTTGTGCTCCAAAGTTCACAAATAAGACATCAAGAAAGTGAAAAGAGCCAAAGCCGGTTTGGCTCAGTGGATAGAGTGTTGGCCTGCGGACTGAACGGTCCCAGGTTCTATTCTGGTCAAGGGCATGTACCTTGGATGCGGGTACATCCCCAGTAGGGGATGTACAAGAGGCAGCTGATAGATGTATCTCTCTCATCAATGTTTCTAACTCTCTATCCTTCTCTCTTCCTCTCTGTAAAAAAATCGATAAAATATATTAAAAAAAAAAAAAAAAAGTGAAAAGAGCCAAAACCGGTTTGGCTCAGTGGATAGAGCGTCGGCCTGGGGACTCAAGGGTCCAGGTTTGATTCCGGTCAAGGGCATGTACCTTGGTTGCAGGCACATCCCTGGTGGGGCGTGTGCAGGAGGCAGCTGATCGGTGTTTCTCTCTCATCGATGTTTCTGTCTATCCCTCTCTCTTCCTCTCTGTGAAAAACCAATAAAATATATATATTTTTTTAAAAGCTGGTTATATTAAAAGAAAAAAAGAAAAGAAAGTGAAAAGACAACCCACAAAATGAAAGAAAAAAAATTTCAAATCATATATCAGATGAGGCTTGTATATAAAATATATAAATAAGTTGAACACTATAACTCAATAACAAGTAAACATATAATTTTATTTTTTTTAATCAATCTTTATTGTTCATATTATTACAAAGGTTCCTCATTTCTTCCCCCCTCCACCAGGTTCCCACCCCACCCTCCGTCCCCCCCCCATCCCCCATTGTCCTCATCCATAGGTGCAGTTTATGTTCAGTCTCTTCTTCCCTCAATTTCCCCAATAGTAAATCCCTTTGCAGATAGTAAATCAGTTACTTAGCATTTTCTCATATCAATAATACCTCCACATGCCCAATGATACACTTCACACAAAAGACATTTCCCACTAGGTCAACCAGCCTCATCCAGGCCCCACCCAAGGCACTCACAGATCAACACCCCCAGCCCTATAGTAACTCAACACATCCAGATCTAAGCCTTCATCACTTGATTCAGCAGACCCTCAAGTTCCCACGAAAGTTTCCAGCCATGTCTGAGAAGCAGCCGTGGGGCAGGGGCAGGCAGGGAGCGAGCTGTTCTGGGCCTGGCTGCTCAGGGCCTGGCCTCTGTTGCTCTGGTTCATTCCACAACCAGCTGCTCCGGGTCTGGTCACTGCCGCTCCCGACCTAGTTGCTCTGGACTTGGCTGCTGCTGCTCTGGGCCTGGCCGCTCCCAGCCTGGCAGCCGCTGCTCCGGGCCTGGCCGCACCCGACCCGCCTGCTCCCCCGGGCCTGGCCGCTCCCAGCCTGGCAGCCGCTGCTCCGGGCCTGGCCGCACCCGACCCGCCTGCTCCCCCGGGCCTGGCCGCTCCCAGCCTGGCAGCCGCTGCTCCGGGCCTGGCCGCACCAGCCCCGCCTGCTCCCCCGGGCCTGGCCGCTCCCAGCCTGGCAGCCGCTGCTCCGGGCCTGGCCGCACCTGACCCGGCTGTTCTGGGCCCGGCTGCCCCGGGCCCGGCCGCTCCGAGCCTGGCCACTCCCGACCTGGATGCTCTGGGCTTGGCTACTGCTGTTCTGGGTCTGGCAGCTCCCACCCCGGCTGCTCTGGGCCCGGCCTCTTCGGGCCCGGCCACTCCGGGTCTGGGTGTTCCTGGACTGGCCACCCTGGGCTTGGCTGCCTCCGCCTCATGCCTGGCTGCCACTGCCCCAGGTCTGGCTACTCCAGTGCTGGCTGTTGATGCTCTGGTTCTGGCTGCTGTTGTTCTGGGGCCTGGCCGTTGCTGCTCCGGGTCTGGCTGCCACTGCCTTGTGCCTGGCCATTCTAGGCCTGGCCGTCGCTGTTCCAACATTCTGTCCTTTTTTTTTTCTTTTTAAAACGCATTTATGTTGCAATGTTGGCTGGTGAGTTGAGTTCTGACATAGTCTTTGATTTTTCAAGATCTTCTTTGTATTCTTTCTTAAGTAATTTTACTATTTTTTGCTCTCACTTGATTTCTTCACATTGAGAACTTCTTTGGTTTCTTCCTCCTTGTTCTGGGAGCTCAGCAGGTTGGCCTGTGGCACTCCTTTGTTCTCCGCGGGCTCCTGTGCTGCTTCAGCCTGTTGCCAGGACGGCGCCGCCCAGGAAGCAGCCCCTGGCCTTGGCTCCATTGCCCGAGCTCAGTGGTCAAAGGCTCAGGGGCACCCACGCCCCCAGGGGCCCCGTGGCCCGCCTCCTTGCTGGTGCCCGGTTGGCTGGAGTCCGGCAGGGGCTTCCGCTCCCCTCCACGTTCCCCCAGCCTGGAGCTTTTTTTTTCTCCTTCCCTCTAGGGAAGTCCAGCATCAGAGTCAACAGACTGTCCTCTGCGCGCAGTTTGCGCGAGTCCCACAGACTGTCCTCTGCGCGCAGTTTGCGCGAGTCCCACAGACTGTCCTCTGCGCGCAGTTTGCGCGAGTCCCGGGGGCCTGGCCTTTCGCTGCTCTCCCTGGACTCCACCTCACAGCCCCGTCTCCCTCTGCCTGAGCCTGGGTCCCCAGGGATTAGCCCAGAACTGGGGTTCGGAGCAGTCCGGACTGAGGCTCAGCGCCGCCGGAGGCCTTGTTTCTTCCGGCTAGGGCAACCCAGCATCAGAGTCAACATTCAGTCCTCTGCGCGCATTGCGCGCGACTCCCGGGGCCCTGCCTTTCGCCGTTTTTCCGCCTCACGGCCCTGTCTCCTCCCGCCGGAGCCTGGGTCCCCAGGGTCTGGCCCATAACTGGGGCTCAGCGCTGCCGGTTCGGGGGGGCTCAGCGCTGCCGGTTCGGAGGTTCAGCCCAGGCTGGGGGTTTTATTTCCTTCCTGCTAGGGAAGGAAAGGCGGCTCCCCGCCATCTCCTCCTCTCCGGCTGCGACCTCTCCGTGCGCGCGTGCGGGCGGGCGCGCAGCATGTCTCCGTACCTTAGGCTTTTTTTCAGCTCCTCTGATTTTCTTTCTGGTTTTCTCTTTCCTTCTTGTTGTAGAAATTTCAGTCAGTCGACTACCTGTAGCTCTGGGCAATGTCCACTCTACATTTTAGTTGTATTCCATTGAAATTGTTGTGTGCTGCCGGGGCTAGATGTCTACCCGAGCAGCCATCTTGGATCCTCTCTCTAAACATATAATTTTAAATGGGCAATGGATCTAAAGAGGCATTTCAGAAAAATGCATATCAAAACCACAATGAGATACTATCTCACACATACTAGATGGCTATAATCAAAATAACGAGTGTTAGTGAGGATATAGGGATATTGAAACTTTTCTATACCACTGGTAGAATTGTAAAATGGTGCAACTGCTTTGGAAAACAGTCCGATAGTTCCTCAAAAGGTTATACTTATAGTTATATGATCCAGAAATCTCACTCCTAGGTATATAACCAAGAGAAATGAAAACATACATCCATACAAAAACTTGTACATGAGCTTTCACAGCAGTATTATTCATAATTGTCAAAAGCCAAATGTAGTCTATCCATATAATCAAATCTTATGGAACAATAAAAAGGAATGAAATACTAAGACATATGATAACATAATAAGCCTTAAAAAGATTATGCTAAGTGAAAGAAGCCAGTCGCCAAAACCCATATATTGTATGATTCCAAAATGGGCAAATCTATAGACAGAAAGTAGGTTAGCAATTTCCTAAGGTTGGGGAAGATGGGAAGGAGAAAATGGGGATATTACATAGAATTTTAGGGGGTAATAAAAATGTTCTAAAATTGATTGTTAGATGCATGACAGTGAATATATTAAAATCCATTAAATTGTGCACTTTAAATGTGTGAATTGTATGGCATATAAATTATATCTTGCTAAAACTGGTACCAAAAAGAAGAAAGAAATCAATGTGTTAAGATGGTTATTACAAGTTCTAAAGGCACAGTGGCAGATAAAATAAAATAAAATAAAAAAAGATGAGGACAGAGAACTGTTTGCAATGGTGAAATGAGAGGTTAGAATTGTCAAGATGACCTAGATCTCCTTTTCAGATCTGGTCAGGGTGTGCTATTCCAATAAAGACTACATCTCCTCTTGCTAGCTGGATGGTCAGGACCCAAAGAGCCATTAGTGCTCCAGAAGCAGCTGCTGATCTGACCAGAACAGAGCTATGAAGGAGGAAGACTGGAGGGTTACTATGCCAAAAGTCCATTCTCCACTATGGAAGTAAAAAGAATAGGAAACTCATGAACTGTGTGATTCATGAATGGCAAAGAACATTTGTGCTTGAACTAAAAGAACTTAAAATTGAGGGAGGGGAATGTGAAAACAATGCAGAAATAACCCTATAACCCTAGAGCATTGTGTAACTTTTCCTTAGCTAAATCCCTGAATGGTTAAGATGCTTTACCCAGGTTTTCATCAAGATAAAAGATAGAAATAGATTAACTCCAATAGGAAAAAATGGTCAGGAACTCAAGTTCCCATAAAACTCTCACAGATCCACAGATCAATAAAGTCTATCCAGGCCCTTCTGTCAGCCTCCCCATTCCACTCTAGTTTTTAAAATGAGCCATTTAAATACAAAGATTATTCACTTAAATTTCAGTAAAGCACTAGTGTTTTCCAAAAACAAATTTCATTAAACAGTCAGTTTATACATAATAACAATCATCAAAGTGGGTTCTGTAGTCAAACACATGTGGGAAACCCTTACTTAGACAAATTTTTTTACAGGACTTCTCAAAGCCCATATGCATTATGAATTTCAGAGTGGGACACAGCAGTTTCATATCTCATTTTTCAAACTTATTTGAGTTCCGAGCTCTTTTTTCCCCACAGAGCATCTTGAGAAAATGTTCGCTGGAAAATGCTAAAATATACAAGAGGAGAGGAAGCAGGGCTGTTGGAGGATATTAAATCCAAATAGATGCATTTAAGGAAAGATGCAAAATCGTGGTAACTTGCAAAAGAAGTAATAAGAACATAGCAAGATGAGTTTCTTAAGTTATTTAAGAAAAAATTTTAAATACTAGTAATGAAAGGTGAGGGGGAGAGTCTATGTACATATCTATTCCCTGAACTCTCCCTTTCAGCAGTGACTAGAGTTGGCTACATCTGGCAACATAGGGTCTAATGAAAGACCTGGAATTTCTTTTTCTTTTTTCAGTTTTATTGAGATACTAGTGGCCCAGCGCACAAAATTCATGCAGGGGTGGGGGTGGAGGGTGTTCCTCAGCCTGGCCGGTACCCTCTCCATCTGGGACCCCTCAAACAATGTCCTACTGTCGGTTTAAAGGAGTCTTTAATTAGCCAACTCTAGGGAACTATATGAAGAACTTCAATAGAGTCTAAGGAACACAACACAAACTCTTCAGTGACAAGAGAACCACACACATAGGCACAAACATCAGCAATGCCTACTGCCAAAGACAAATATGAACAGAGCTTCCAGGAAATTTGGCAGGAGGCCTAAAAAAAATTGAGCAATAGGGCATAAGATAAATTTAATTTAACTTGGTTTTTATGCCAAAGACTGGACCCTGCAAAAAGGAAAAATGAAGAAATAAATATAGAATCAGGTAGAACTTTTTTTAAAAAGTAATTCAACCCCTTACTCAATAAACATATCTTCAGCTATATATGCTTATGCTCATGCCATTTTCTCTGCTTGGAAGACTTTTTCCTATCCATTTATCATTCTTTAACTTTTACTTGTCCTTCAAAATTTACCTCAAGCATCATCCCTTTTAAGAAGTGTTCTCCAAATTTGTAGTTTGGCATATTTGCTTCCTTGGCACCCTCACAAAATACCTATTTGTATTACAGAATATAATTTTCATTGACTTATTTATTTAACTTTTTACACCAACTCACCCATCCCAGAGTCTAGCTACTGCCTCAGTTCCTACGAAGAACTAGGTGCTAGACATCAAAGCAATTCAGAAGTTGCCCCTGCCTCAGGAAACTCATGAGCTACATAAAAAAGAGGAAATAAACAATTACAGCTCACAACAGGATGAATAATGGCATGGGCAAAAAAAAAGCTTCTGAGTTCTCTAGAAAGGAAGAGATTATGTGCACAAGCTTTGTACAGAAAAGCATGTTCAGTGTCCTGAACCTGTCTGGCAACAAGCTCATCAAACATGAACACTGGCTTTACAAGTAGCCTGCACACCCATCACCATTTAGCTAAATGAGGATGAGTGCATTTGCATTTCATTTATTTCTTTATGGAGTTAAATTGCATTTTAGAAGCTAGGTATTTTTCCATTCATATGGCTGTCTAACAAGCTAAATTCAAACCAAGGAATGAGAGGGAGGCCAAAAGAAAATGCATGGCATCCACAATCTTTAATCTGCAATTGTGTGTAGGTGTTGTAATCATTCTATTATTGGACTTCAAGCAGCTGGTTCAGTTGGAAACCAAGTCCATGAACAGAACTTCTGTAACCATACAGGATTCCTCCACTGTGATTAAGTACTAAAATGATAGGTGTTAAATACAAAGGGAAGAGAGAAATTTCTGAAAGACATCTATCTCAATCAGAGTTTGAAAGGAGAAGCCACGTGACTGAGAGTGGGTAGGGAAGAGTCAGAATTCATTAGGAGGTGGTGTCCTAACTTAATAGAACCTGATAACGCTCACCAGGCAAGTTGCTTCCAAAAAGGCACAGGCAAAATAGGAAATGTACCTCCTCAGTTCATTCATAACCTTGAACGCCTTCCCCATGTGGGCAGGATTGACAGTGATAGTCCTCTGGTTCTTCTCATCATCCCCAGCCTGAATCGAGGACTGGGAGCTCAGCTTGGTGCTGTGAACAGGAAGGAAATGGGAGGGAGGAAAAAGAGGATCACATGTTGATAAACCCATTCACCCAACTGCACAAATGCATGCATTTGCCCACCTACCAGGGGCATCCCTGTCAGCCTGTTCTCTTAACCACAAACCCAACAGAGAAAGAATGCATTGGGTCAGGCATTTCTGCAGAATCTCCCAATACAAAGTGCATTCCTCTGATGGAAGATGGATCCTATCTCAGCTTATTCCACTGAGCCCTTTTGTGACTTTGTGGGAGTGCTTAACTTCCATCTCTCCAGATGGGGAAAGTGAGGGGAAACTAAGCACTATACCATTCAATTCATAGGAATGTTTGTTCATTCAATAAACATCTAATGGAGCCTACTATGTGACAGGCACTGTAATGAAATTTAAGGGAAACACAACAATAAACAAGGAACAGACCCTGCTCTCACAAAATTTTGAGTTCAGTGGAGGAGAAAGCCAAGTAAACATTTAACTATTGTATCTTAAGTATTATAATTCAACTAGAGGCTGGTGCACTTGTGGTGGGGGGATCTCTCAGCCAGGCCTGAGTCCTTAGGGGATGTCCAACTGACAGACATCCTTAGTGCTGCTACGGAGGAGGATAGGCTCCTGCCATCGCCATTGCACTTGCCAGTTGTGGGCTTCTGGCTGAGCGGCATTCCCCCTGTGGGAGCGCACTGACCACCAGGAGACAACTCCGGCGTGGAGCATCTGCCCCCTGGTATTCAGTGTGCGTCATAGCAACCAGTCATCCCGCCACTTAGTCAATTTGCATATTAGCCTTTTATTATATGGGTTAAGAGTTACAGAAACACAGTTGTGGGAAAGGAGACATATGTAATACTTTAAACAATAAAAAGAAAAGGTTAGAGAAACACAAAGTATGGGCAACAAACCCAATGCTGGTATGATAAGGAGAAAACTTCCTAGAAGCTGAGCAAGAGCATACCTTAACCAGGTAAAAAAGGAAGACGGAAAGAATTCAGACAGAGGGCAGTATGCACAGAGATCTGGAGAAAAATTCAAGTGTGTTCAGTAAAACTTCAGGCTATTAGACTGAACAATATTGTGTCATATAAGCAAAGCTAAAGAGTTTGGATTTCATTCTGAAACCATGAGAAGCCATCAAAAGGTTTTAAGCAGAGAAGTGGAGCAGGAAGCTGGTGAACACATTTGTGCTTCAGAAAGATCACATTGGCTACAGTATAGAGAATGGTGACACAAGTGAAAATTTTGGGGAAACCATAATCCCAAACAAAGACAAGAGATTGTAATTTGTTATGAAAAGAAATGCTATCTATGTGAGCTAAATGAGCAGGTGGTTGTAGCAAGTCACTCATAATTTCAAAACTCCTGTCCCAAAGACAGAACACTTAAATCCTTGTGAAATCCCACTCAGAATCCCAACTACTTCAAAGCAACATGTCAAAACTTTATGGCGGCTGAGAAAGAACCAAAAGAGTGAGAAAGGAAAGCACTCTCCCCAGATTAATGAAACTACTTAGCTTCACGGTCAAGTCTGGAACCTCGGAGTTACCTCTATTTGGACAAGGCTAAGCTTTGCTTTGCTAGTAGGAAAACAGAACCTTCTCCACTTGAGTAGATTTAGTTACCCACAGTTTACTCCACTCCAGGACAACAGTACTTTCTTTTGCCTTTCCCTTTGCCTCTGTCCACGCTACTACCCAGCTCTGAAAACTCTTGAGAAAGGGAATGCTGTGGTAAGAGAATGTTCCAGAGACCTGAGCATCCATAAATCTCACACTGGAATTTGTTAACATTCAAATACAATCAAGCATGCCCCAGACCCCGTAGCTCATCTGACTCCTCCTTTGGCTTCTTTCCCTACCTTCAGTTCAGCATGTAAATGTAAGCTACAGGCATCTGAACTGTGGGACTGTTTGGATTCTGAGTGCAAAGAAATTAACTGAGCTGAGCACAGGACAATAAATACAGAGATGCACAGAGGCAGATGATCAGAGTCATGTGTTTAAAGAGATAAAGAAAATCTCAAAACTGAAAATGTGATCAGGAAGAGGGAGTACCCAGTAAAGATTAAAAAAAAAAAAAAAACTTCATGTAAGAAAACCCACAAGTATAATTGATTGTTAGTGTCCTTACTTCCCTACTCCAAGGCCAGAAAGATCGTTTTTATTTTCTACTAACATTTTTACTTTTGATATTTAATACCTTATATTATCTGATGTTGATTTTAGGGTCATGATGTGAAAAGGGGATCTAATTTTTCCCATAAGTTCCACTTATTACTTCTTATTTTTTTCCCACTCACCTGTCATTGTCATGCCACCTTAGGTCGATATCAAAGTTCCAAACATACAGGAATCTATTTCTTGACACTAGCCTATTCCATTGGTCAGTTTACCTGCCTCTGTACCCGTAATACATTATTTCTGTAGCTCCGTAATAAGACCTGATATTTGATAGAGCAATTCCCTAATCCTATTATGTTTAAGATGTGTTTTGATCATTCCAGTCTCTTTACTCGTTCATACAAATTTTAGTATCGTTTGTCAAGTTTTATGAAAGACTCTGATGGGATTTTGATAAAAAAAAAAAAACTGCATTGAATTTATAGATCAATTTGAATAGAACTGACAACTTTCTGATATTGTATCTTCTATTCAATGAACATGCAAGATAGAATATCATCTTTATTAGAGATTCCTTATCTTTCCATTTATTTAGATCCTCTTTAATGTCATTCAACTTTTATATTTTTCTGCATGGGGAACCTTATATAATTATATTTATTCACTTAATAATTTTTGTTGCTATTTTATAATGGAAATTGTGTGTCATTTTAAAGTATATTTTCTGATTATTGTGGTTTATAAAATGCAACTGATTTTTGCAAATTGATCTTATATCTAGCCACCTTACCAACTGTTTCTATTATTTCTATCTATTTGTCTAAAGATTTAATTAGGTGATCTATTTTAACAACCTCATTGCCTGCATATAATGCAAGAGATTTTTTTCCTTCTTTCCAATTCTGAGGGCTTTAGTTTCTTTTTGCAAGAAATTCTCCACTGGCTAGGATGGTCACACAATGTTGAACAGAAAGTGTGCTAATGAATATTTTTCTCATCTTCCTGATGTTAAAGATGCTTCTAATGTTTCCCTATTGTGTATGTTTGCTGTAGGATTTTTGTAGATACCCTTTCTTAATCAAATTAAGAAAATGTCCATGTGTATTACAGTTCTTGAGTCATAAGGTATATTGGATTTTATCAAATGTTTTTGTAAATCTAATGAGATGATTATATGGATTTTTCCTTTTATTCTTTTAATGTGGTAATATATTTTCTAATACTAAACCATACTTACATTCCTGGGATAAATCTAAAAACTATAAAACACTGCACAAATATTCATTATAATTTTCAAATTGTAGAGAGACTTAAAAGCCAGGAAGAGAAATTATCATTTGGTATCAATCAGGGAACCACTGAAGGTTTTTAACAGGAACTAATAAAAGCCCAGTGGACAAACATTTTAGTTCTATTTCACATCTATGGAGTGGGTGTAGACCAAATAGAGACAAAGATGGCTTACTCTTCCTTGCTCTGATGCTCTTTATACTTTCCTGCCTTCCAGAATAGCCTAATAATGCTATATCTCTGTTAAAAATAATATTGTATTTACCAAAGTTCTCAAACATAGAGTGTCTCTTATCAGAGGACTTAATTTCAACAAAATGCATTTCATACTGAAGCTTCCCTAAAAGAACAACTTGATGATTGCAGGGCTGGCTAAGGAAATGACATCTGGTTCCCCCATTCAACCCTTGATGCCAAAGCAAGTCTTGATATCAGAAGGAACCAAATCATCCCTTGGTCTCTATCACCCCTTTCTCCCCTTGGGTGTGAAGACACAGGAAGTCTAGAGTGGTATCTCTCATTTCTGGAAAACACAAGCTTCTTGGCAACTCACTGGTCTTCCAGAGAGTAGGAAGTTAAGTAACTTCTTAAGAGCCGATCTAAGGACTCAGAGGAGTTAAAAATCTTGCACAAGATCACAGATAATAAGTGGCAGAGATGGGATCTGAGCTCAGGTGTCCTTGACTTGAATCCGCCCAAGTTATTTCCACCACAACTCATGCCCTCAAGCAATATAGTACATAAGTATGTGCACGCGCTCATACACACACACACACACACACACACACACACACACACACACACACATGCCTCAGCCCAGGATCATATGCTCAGACAGAGTTGCTAGATCCCACCATTCCCTCCCTCATACTTTTCTCCCTCCATTCATACAGATTTTAACTAATTAATCCCCAACAGCCCAATTCCATTTTCTCAAGGCCCAATCTCCAGCATGCTCAGTTCTTGATACCAGACAAGTCTGGTGCATTCCCCTTCTCCACCTGTGAAACACAACCATATTGATGTATATTCTCCTCTCTTGCCCATACTTTTCACTTTATCCAGACCCAGCCAAAATCACACACACACACACACACACACACACACACACACACTACACTACACTTCTTTGTGCAAACTCAGCCTACTCCTTACTTTCTTTCCCTCAAGCCTATTCTTCTTTCTATGTTTTCTATCACCAAGGCATAACCAACAACCCACTCACCTATCCTAGGCAGAAATGGTATGTCATCCTTGATATCACCTCCCTCTCTCTCTCTCTTGCACACCCCTCACATACAGCCATAGTTCTATCAAATCTATGTCCTTTAATATCTTTCCATACCATTCCCTTCTCACAGTCATTATTATTACCACCTCAGTCTAAGCCATCATGATCTCTTGTTTTATTTCTATGATAACTTCCTCCCAGACTCCAGAATGTTCTTCACAGAATGTCAGTGTAAGCATGGCATGTTCTATCTTCCAACAAGTCTCAAAGACTTAGCCTGGCACTTCATAATCCATCATTTCCCTAAAGACTTCTTGTTACTTGCAACTGCCTAAGTACTAGTATACCAGGCTC